TTCTGTATCTGTAATAAATCTAGAGAAAAGCATGTACTTGGTACTGCAAGCACTGCTGGTGGTCTGTGTTTATTTGATCTTTGAGTGTTCTGACTGCCAGGTTAGAGGTCACAATCTACAATCATTATTATGGTTTGATCAAAAATAATTTAACACTTTTTGTACTGTATGCCTCTGTAGTATTGGTACACCAAAGTTGCTCTAGCTTTATAGTACTTAATAAAAAATGTTTTATTGTGATTATGTTTCACTTGAGTTAGGTAATCTATGACCATGTGAAATTATTGTTTACACTAGTTAAACACTATGTTGGAGCTTATTTGTTCTCCTGTGCTTTTTATTAAAAAGGCAGGGGATTAAAGAGAGACTTTGCGGTTTCATTTTAAGAGTCGAATGGGAGATTTTTGTACATCATTTACTAAATGGTGTTTTAACTTTATGTACCGATACTTTCTGCCAAAATGTTTCTTCCATAAATTCCTGTTCCTTATAAAAAATAAATTAAAAATACCCTAAAACAGCAAACTAACTGATTTTGGTTTGATTAGTTTACTGTCCTGGAAATTAAAACACAACATAGCTATGCTATAACCACTTAAATACATCAGTCCAATCTGGGGTTAGGATGTTTAAACCGATTCTACCAGGAACAGAAATCACAGTCCTCCATTACCTTTTTATTTATGTGAAAGGTGTGCACAGGCCATCAAAAACAAGGAAACTTGGACTGGATACCTCAGTGTAGAGTTTTTTTTTCTTCATTGTTTGTCTTTTTTGTCATGTTTGTTTCATTTGTTTTATGTTTGCTATTGTTTTTATGTTTTTTATCTTTGCATGTATATTTCTTTGTACAGATCATACATATTTTCTCTTGTAAATATTCTCATTTTGCCAGCAGTTATTTGAAAATTAAACATAATGAACACATGTTACTCTGTTACTACATTTTGTTTCTTTAACATTTGTTTTTGTTTTTGTGTTTTATTATTTGAACAGCTATATTTTACACAGATTTAATTAAAGTGGGAAACTAGCATAAACACTAATTTGAGATTTGACGAGTAGATAAAATCCATTTCCACCTACAGGTTTTATGACTGGGTGACATTTTGTTGGGCTGAGAATCTGCCCAGGTAGTCAACACAGTGACGTTACTGGGGCTTGATTTTTATCCACACATCAGGAGGGCGACTACCAGTTATAGGTAGTCTCTGGATGGAGGTCAGCCTCAATAATAATCACAAAAACAGGTCTTTTAACATTATGATGCATCTACAGGCATCATCAATACAAATTCATTATTAAAAAGGACCAATGTGTAGGATTTACAGGCATCCAGTTTCATATATCAATTAACTGAACACCACTCGCGCCTATATTTGGCAATCTGTGAATGAGAACAGGCTGTAAAGTGTAACTGATTGCCACGAAAAGGTCCCATCAGCAACCAGTGTTTGTTCTGGGATACTGTAAAACATGGTGGTTCAATATGGAAGGCGACCCTCAGCGTCCATAGATAAAAACAGCTCCTTCTTTGGTAACTAAAACATATGTTATATAATAATATGGAATATTGTATTCCATTTCTCCCAATAGATCGTGCTGCCAGAACAGCTTCAATGTGCCTTTGACTCTACAGTCTCCAGAACGTTAGTGGAGGGATAAACGCCATTCTTCCAAAAGATACTCCCTCGTTTGGTGTTTTGATGATGGTGGTGGAGTCCGCCATGTTGACCCACCTTGTTTCTATAGTAGCCCAGAACGGACTGACTAGATAGGTCCTTTCACAATTTTGTGGCCATCGTAGTTTCTCCTACACACTTCACATCCCGTTCTCTTTACCAGGTCGTCAGATACAGACACAAGCAATGTTCAGTTAGTTGCAATCTGCAACTTCAACACTAGGTGATGCTAAATTTGTCACCCGTCTGTATGTCAGCTGATAAGTAGCAGGACATTGCGGTGGAAAAATGACAAAGATATGTCTGAGGTAATTTATAAACCTTATAAATACATTTACAAGCTTACTACAATGCCCCTCTCAGACATGTGAAGTGAAGCACTGGGTTGTCACGAGCCTCCAGAACAGCTTTCAGTGCTTCTCGCCATAGATTCTTCAAGAGTCTGAACTCTGGAGAAACGCATTTCTATTATTCCCTCAGTTTGTGTTTTGATGATGGCGGAGGAGAGCACCAAAATATTATCTGATCTGGTGACTGTGAAGGCCACAGCATATGATTCATATAATTTCCATCAAACCAGTCAGTGAGCTCTTTATGCTTTCTCTCTTTTATGATTCGTCACCGCTCTGTTTCTATGTCAAATTTATTTCATAACCACATTTAATGGATCCTATCCTCAGAATTTGACAAATGTTTTTTTCAAAAACATAATGTCAATCAATATACCATTATCTTAACTCTCAAATATCCACGATTAATCTGTCTCTAATATGTAATGGACCATTGCCTGTGACAGGTGGGAGTGAAGCAGCATTTTGCTTGGTTCATTGGTGAAAGATGTTTTAAAAAAAAGATTAAAAGTTGCCTTCTATTATCTAGAGTTTGGATTTTAGTCAAAAATATGGTCTGCACTGCCCTCAAGTGGCTCCTTGCTCACAGTAAGACAGGAGGTTGCTCTCAGGGATGATGAGGGACTTAATGATATTTCATGAGCCTCGCAGCCTGTAAAAGCCTCCTTGGACACCTGCTCCTTCTAGGTGTCATATCAATCAACATTAAAAACTAAAGCACGAGTGGCTAACCAATCCTTCCTTCCTTCCTTCCTTCCTTCCTTCCTTGTATTTTGCTTCTTTTAACTTTCCATTCCTTGTTTTTCCACATGGAGACATCAGTTTCACCTGTTTCTGAGTAGAAACAAACAGTAACAGCAGTTTCAGTGAGTTAGTTTGTCTGCTTCAGCCACTGATACATTTATGAACCTGTTGGACACAAACTCAGCAGCTTTCTGCCACTGGAGTGTTCAAGTGCAATGGGAAGTTCCAGTGTTTTGACTTTATCAGTACTCCAGAGTTTAAATTACACTCCAGCCAACCTGATTTTTGGTTTAACAAGAAATACATCTTCCACTTTTCAGTGTAACACACACAAACCACTTGCTCTTGAAAGGTGTAGTGTGTAAAATATATAGGAGGAACACTGACTGTGGAGCCATTCACGTTTTTCATTTTTCTGATTTTAAGGGGTGGAAGAAAGCTATATATACACACAGCAGGGCTATATTTCAGCATTTCATTCATTTCTTGTGAGGAAATCTTTAAGTTTAGATTTTTATTTAAGATATAAACTTTGAAGATCTGAACATAAGCTATATTCACATATACAGAACAGCCTCATCCTGCATTGGAAATATCCAAAATCTCCCATTGTCCCAAAAAAGAAGCCTATTAAGTATGTATGAATGTCCTTTTTTAAAAAAAAACAACAATACAGACAAATGTATAAAAAGTTCCTAAATATCAGGAAAACTCATCTCTGATGGAATAGTCACAGAAAATAATCTGCTCAAAATTCAAATAACTATTTGTGTCCACTGTGCAGTTTGTCAGCTGTTCTGTACTGTTACTGTTCTGCATTGAATATAATATGAAATATCCATAAAACATGTCATTTAGTAAATGGTAAATGGTAAATGGACCTGTACTTGTATAGCACCTTTCTAGTCTTCCGACCACTCAAAGCGTTTTTACACTACATGGCACATTCACCCTTTCACACACATTCACTCAGTGATGGCCAAGTCCATAAAACAGTCCATAAGTCAGTTCACACACACACTGAAGGGAAATACTACCTCCATGACAAGACACAACTGATCACCAGCATCAGTCTGAGACCAGAAACCTGGTTGTAGAGGGGGCTGCTGGGAAACGTAGTACAGCAGGTGCTCTCACTGTACTTACCGTTTACAGGTAAATATAGTAGTTTTTACTCCACCGTCTGACAGCAGGCTACTTTAAAAGTTAAGATTTTGAGTCAAAAACATGAGCTCATAAAAGCTTATAAAATATTAAACAGGCTGTATTCCATTTAGATGAGTCAGTTCCAGTGTTGGACGCTGTACCTGTTGGCTCACTGGACGGGCTTCCTGGGACAGAACCATCATTAATGTTAGTTGCTCCATCCGTACGCTACCTTTTACTTACTGTGACCTGTGAAAAAAAAAGTCTACCAGAGATTAAATCAGTTTCTTTCTTGTTTGTAACCCTTTATTTTCAGACACATTAGTTATTGTGAGATATTTACCCTTTAAACTTCTCAGATGGTTTCAACTGTTTGAGGCTCAAAGAGGAAAAAATATCCAAAACACAAAAAAACCTGTATTCATTTTTTATAGTAATTTAAAAAATTTAATTGTGTATCAGATCAGTGTTTTATTTTCTCCCCTCGTCCATGAAGTATCTCAGGACCCCTTTAGATTTACCTCGAGACCGTCTTCAGGGGGCTCCCTAGGTTGAGAAACACTACTGATCTAGCTGTAACTGTATATTTATTAATCATGTCATATAATATAGTCAGTCCCAGGAGCCATTTCTCTGTAAAACAAATTACTTTTTACATTGTGGAATTGGTATTTGTACTTTAGTAAAATATCTAAGTACTTCTTCAATCACTGACAAATACAAATGTATGAAAACACCATCCACTTTTAATGACTTCAGTCCTGGTTTTCACAGGTCCTGATCTTGTGAATTTAAAATCTGCAAATAAATATTGATTTATAAAACCTTACACATTGAGTCGTACTTTAATCTAAAGAATAATTCATTTTATTTGATTATGTGCGTATGTGTATGTTTACTTTCTAAAATCATTATTGACAATTATTAATTAATTGACATTAAGAATAACTAAAAAAAAAAAAAAAAAAAAAGCCAGTCTGGTTGTTGATGGTCCGGTGTGCACATACAGGCATCAGTTTTAATAATTAGTTGAAACTCTTTGTACTAACAATGCAATAACACAGCAACAGGCCACACATTTTTGGTTTATAGCAATGTTGTCTTTTATTCTAATTTCCAATAAACAGAGAATATATCAGTCCCTTATTTGTACAAAAATACCTGAACAGGATACAATGTAGATCCAGGAGCCGTACAGACAGAATGAAGCAAAGCACAGTGGGGTTATCTGAAAAAAAAATTATTACGGTTCATTTGCTCTTTTTTTTTTTTTTTTTTTTTTTTACTTTCCCTGAAATTTTTATTTGACTTCAGCTTATGATGACTTCAGCCCAACAACACTGAGTCGGTTTCACTTGCACCTACACTGAGTCACCACTGTCAATGAGACTTGTATGTGACGTTGACCTGATATTAGGATTTAATTCCAGTAGAATTATGTTTCACAGTTACAGCTAACTGTAAATGAACGCAGTGAGTGGACGGATGCTGACAAATGACTTGATACTGTTCACAAAAAAGAGGCACCTGCTGCAAGAATAGGTTTAGTTAAGAAAAAGAATTAACAAACGTTGTTATGCACCTTAAAATCAGAGTAAATGGACATAATGAAATGCGCAACCCTCTTGAGCTACAGCGTATAATTGCACTACTTGCGATGAAAGGTGTACGAAAGCTGCAAAGAATATCCCCAAGGGTGAAGCGTTGGTGTGTGTATGTGTGTGTGCTCTCAATGGTGTGTGTGTGTATTATTAATATCCAAACATTAACCGCCTTGAAACTGAAAGTTAGATGAGTGGAATCAGACATGACAGACAAGACAGACAGACAGAGAGGGGATATTCAAAAGACATGATTTTAAAAGAAAATGACATCAGAATTGAACGCTGGCAGAGTTGAAGCCTCCGTCAGCCTGTCAGCTTATACACGCAACTGATGTTCAGGAATTTGACACACGCCAAAAATCCAGTTTGATCTCTTCAAAATAAAAAAAACAGCTTAATTTAATACTGTATATACTGTGGTATATTTTTTTTATATATATAAAAAGGTCATTTTGTGGCAAACCAAAGAAAATACACAATAATGTCAATATACACACAATCAAATAATGGAGAGAAAAAAAAAAGGACAAAATAAATCATTCTTCATTTTACACGGAGTTATGAGCAAAAGCATAACGCCCCATACATAGTGATCTGTGACCTAGGTACAGTGTTAGATCTACATCTTCTCCATAGCTTCACATACTTAGAAAACAAATGATACTGTATACTGGTATATTCATATACTTGGGCTTGTGTATAGGATTGCATTGTAGCACAGTGATTAAAAATGGAGGGAGTGGGAGAGGACGGTGGTTTGCCCCCGCTGACCCATAATGCTGTGGCTTCGCGTCCCTCTCTGACAGACAGGAAAGAACCTCAACTGAGGACTGGGAATGCTGGGATACCTCCAGCCAAACTCCTGTCTCCTCTAAATCCACAGCTTAGCTTGACTTTTACCCAACCGACAAGCAACCTTCTCTCACTGTCTCTAAAAGGCAAGTTATGATAACCAGCGGTCTTAGCAATCCTGAATAGTGAATATAACAGTCTGGCCATCCACACACACACACACACACACACACACACACACACACACACACACACACACACACACACACACACACACACACACACACACACACACACACACACACACACACACACACACACACACACACACACACACACACACACACACACGCATATTCATCATAGGGTCATAGCTTACAGGCTGGACACAGGTGGGAAAGGGGGGCGAGGGGTTCAAGCATTATCCAATCCCTGGAGAGAGTCTGCCCAGGCTGACGAGAAAGGCCTGATTGGTGGAGCACAGAGCTGGTGAGTCAGACAAGTCACGTGATTGGTCGAATGGTGGCGGCAGTGGCTTGCAGGTCAATGACAGTACTTGGAGGGAGTTCAGTTAGCCTAGCAGGGAGTCTGATGGCCTCGTGCTAACCCCATTCACTGTCAATCTGGCACGGGGGGGGGGGTGCAGGTGTAGGCAGGAGGGGTGTGGGGCGAAGCTAAGCAGGTGTTACGTCACTTGCAGCTTTTCATTTGCTGGTTACACGACAGTAGGAGAAGGCAGGAAAAGACAAAAGGACTTTAAAAATGTCTTCTTTAACCTCCTTTTCCTGGTGTATTCCTACAAATACAGACCTCACTTACAGGGACAAATTTAGAAAGAAAGAATCCACCCAAATGATCTGTTAAAGCCACTATGTTTGACATTTTTATGTTATTATTGCAGGTGAGATAGTTGTTTCTCAATGTTACCATTAGGGGGCGCCAAAGTTGGATATTTTAAAATTCTACACATAATGGCTTTAGATCAGATTTGTTTACTGTCACTCTACTTTTAGGTGGACAAACTTTGCCCAACATACCTGCCTTGTCTTATTTTATCTCATCTCCCAGAATGCTTTCCAACAACACTGAAATATTGGCCTATAGCCACACCACAAACTGAGCTAGCTAGCCAGATTAAGATACATTTGTTGATTTTCTTGAATAATCAATGAATCACTTGGTCTATAAAATGACAGAAAATTGTGAAAAATGTTCTTTATATACAAGGTAGCATCTTCAAATTGCTTTTTTTGTCCAACCAACAGTCCAAAACTCAAACCCAGTTTACTATAATGTAAGACCGTAACGCTGGAGCCATCGCATTTTTGCTTAAGAAAACGACTGACTATCCAAATAGTCGCCAATTAATTTTCTGTTGATGAATCAATGAACAGTGCTTCAGCTCCTTACTGTCAACACACCTGATGGCTGCAAGGCATTCTGGTCTAGTGAGGCTACTTCTGGTGTGGAAATGGCTTCCTCTACCTCTTTCATCATGAAAGTACGATTGTTGCAAAATGGCTGTTGATTGTGAGGGACTGACATCACAACCTGATGTTCACCACTGATGCTAGCAAACTCAAATACATCTTCTGGAAATATCTGGATATGCTGTTACATTATAGCCAGTTATCTGCAGAAATAAGATAAAAACAGCACCCAACAAGAAAACAGGCCTAGAAATGCGAGGCTGCATCACCAGTACCTGTTTTCTGATGCGTGTTCAAGTGGATTTTTACTTTTAGGAAATAGTTTGACATTTTGAGAAATACTTGTACATACTTATTGTCTGCCTTGCCAAGAAATAGATAAGATTGATTGCATGTCTTTAGTTTATCTGACACAGGTCACATATATCTAAAAAAAACATCAAGGATAACACAATGAAGTCCAATACTCATTTCCATTGTGGTCTGTACCATAAATATGAAGCTAGTGTACAGCCAGCAGCTGCTTAGCTTAGAAAGAAATAGTCCAGCACATGACCCCTGGTAAAACCACAAACAGTCGTTTTCAACAACATATAATGTGTTCATTTCTGAGCTTCAGTGGTGCTGGTAGGTGGATTTTGTTTGTTTGCTGGCCAATTCCCCATTTCCAGTCTATATGCTCAGCTAAACTAACCAGCTGCTGGCTGTAGCCTCATATTAAGCATACAGACACGAGAGTGGCATCAATCTTCCCGTCTAATTATCGACAAGATAGTGAATAAGAGTATTTCAAGTGTTAAACTATCTATTTGACATAGTCTTTAACACTCCTGATTCCATCCTCGTAAAATATGAAATGTTTTACTGTATGTGCATTTTAATATAGCTTAGATTTCATACACAAGGCTCACAATTTTCACTTAAGGCGAGTGAATCTCATTCTAATGTGTGTTGACACACAGTCAACAACTGAGTTCACATTTCAAGTCATTTGTTCAATTCCATATTAAAACAAAGGGGGAAAACATAATGGGAGTGCTTTTGTTGATTTGTCTTTTCTGGAGTGAGGGAACAGTGGTCAGAATCCGAAAATGACAGCTCCAACCCATCAATATCAAATCAATAGAATTAAAATGTGCAAGCAGTGAGCTCAGAACAAACTTAGGAAAAGAAAATGACATTCAAAGACAATTCACCAACGGATTTAACCCTTTCAATAGAAAAAAAAAGACTGACATGGTACAAGCTTGGGGGTGGATACACTTTTCAGTCTATTTAACAGTCTTCCTCCTCTTCCTCATGGTCTTGACACGCTGCATGCGCTTCATGAGCACATTCTTTTTTACCAAAGCATGGTCATGTTGCTTCAAGCCACACAGAGGTTGTTGTTCCCATACCTGTTTGAAAGGCACTGCATAATCAGCCGTGACTCTCTTTGCTCCCACGCCACTGTAATCCAATCAGAACTGCTGGAAATTCACATGCATGCTTTTCAGATGGGGAGGGGTTGGAGGAGGAGGAGAAGAAGGACAAACGGAGAGCAGGCAGCTTCATTTAGCTAGAGAGAACAGCTGTCGTCTGTCCACCCGGGAGTGCAAAACTAGTTCTGCATTGAATCAACAGTAATAAAACAGCATTAAAATGACATCAAGTAATCAACTTTACAAGAGAGGCTTGTTACGGCCTTCCTCATAAACATTCCTCTGTCCTTTCAGCAAACCCTCGCCACTGCTCTGCTTATCTTGCCTTCAGCTACTTCTCTTTTCTCTCCCAACTTTCTCTGAACTTCTATGGAGGAGGAGAGGCGGGATCAGGGTCGCACAAGGGCACTGTGGGACAGGACACAGCAAAGAGGCCGCATCAAGTCTGTTCGGGTGGTGTTGGTAGTGGGGTGGGGGCCGGGGGCAGGGTGTCAGCTTATCCAGACTGGACTGCACAGGTTGAGAAATCCTGGATCGAGTTTGATAAGACCCAGAGAGGTTCCCGTCCATCCCTGATGATCGATGAGGAAGTCAGAGGGTGGTGCTCCCCGCCTACCTCGGCAGCGAATGGGGCGAGGGCGGGGCAGGCACCACAGCTTATCAGGCCTGGAAGATGAGGGAGGTTGGGGGCTGAAGGGTGAGGGGACTCTGAGGGAGGAGACCTTAGCTGTCTTGTGTTTTCACAACATATGGTCTCCCTACAGGGTCAAAACGGCAATGACAAAACAACCGAGTCTCCATGACAACATCGCAGGAGCTAGGCGACTGCTGGGTCCACAATCTGCAACGCTTGAACTGTCTGGTGAACGGCTGCCATTCAAACATCCGAACAGCGGTGAGGCAGAGAAATGCATCAGAGACATTAAACCTCCCACGCCGGCTCCTGCTCAGTTGTTCACATCTCCGAAACTTGACTTAAACTTTTCTTTAGCTCCTCAACCTCATTGCGTTGGCGAGGGAGGGGCAGAAGGGGGATAGGGATCTCAGGGTGAGAGGTGTGCAAAAAAGGGGTGGAGGTGTTTGGGGCGTGGAGTGTCACAAGGCCACGGCGGTGCAGGGGTGTTTAAGCTTGCAGGGCAGCACTCCTCTGTTGAGCTGGTAAAACTCCACCAGGTGAATCAGGTCGGTGAACTTGGTGGCACCATCGTCGAGGCTGAAGAACACCTGACCGTCCTCCTCACACTTGAGACCAGAGCCAGAGGGAGGAGAGAGGCCAATTAACTATCACGACAGTACGACATGTATATTTTGATAAATAAGATCAGACAGGTGAAAGCAGAGCAAATACATGGACAAACTCATGTCAACAGGCCTTTTAACCTTGTACCGACTGAACCTAGCAATGTTGGTCTGTAAGTAGGTCCACCACTGTGGTCCCGACTGAAATATCTTGACAGATATTGGATGGATTGGCATGACAGTTGGTTCAGACAATCATGATCCCCAGAGGATGAATCCCACTGACTTTAGTGATCCGCTGACTTTTCACCTATTGCTGCCAGCAGATAAAAAAAGTTTTTGTCCAGCTCTTGGTTTATGACCAATACCTACAAAACGAATGACCCTAATGACTAAATCCCATCAGCTTGTATTCCTTACTAATTGTGCGTATTGTTGTATATTGTATATACCTACGTTTAACATTTTGTCACATTTAGTTACTTGTTTTCTTCTTTTCTACTTATGTTACCTGTTAGTGCTTGCATTTTGTTGCATTTAGTTAATTGTTTGATTTATTTTATGTTAGCCTTTAGTTTATTATTTATTCTATTTTATTTAATTTTATGTTAGCTTATTTTTACTCTAACCCTGTTGTACTTTTCTTTACCACCTTTGTATTGAAACTGTTGCACAGTAATTTCCCTCGGGATAAATAAAGCTTCTTAAATCTTGAATCTAATTAGCAAACGTTAGCATGATAACACACTAAACTAAGAGAGTAAACATAGTTAACATTATACCCAAACATCAGCATGTTAGCATTGTCATTGTGAGCGTATAAGCATACTAATGTTAATGTTTTATTTGTTTCTATGCCTCTCTGCATGCTTGCTTGACATTACTAATCATTTTCCAGTTTTCCAAAGTTTAGCAGCTATACAGTTTGTCCATACATTGTCAGCAATCTCGTATATTAAGCCAGTTTTCTTAAAACATTAGCCAATAAAATCAAAACTTTCTGCATGGCTAGATACCTCTAGCAGCAAGTCAAAAAGTGCCATTTGTTTGAACTGGCCCTTTAAGCCATTTGAAGTTAATTCTGTAACAAAATAAATGAAAACACATGGCTGCCTGGGAGGAGGAACACCATATTTCAAAATCTTAAAAAAGCAAGACATGCTATGGAAAATGGTTGGCAGTGACATTAAGTGTAGCAGGCCAGATGAATCTTGTAGGTTTTACTATGAGGTTAAGCTGTGTGTCAAAGCATTTAGAAAAGGTGGAAATCAGCAGGGACTGAAATGTTTCTTTGCTGGTAATGCCAATCAGCCACGACTGCTGGCTTTTGAGGCTATGACTGCAGTTTAGTAATCGAGCTACGACATGAAATGTAACAAAAGGTCATTTTACCCTCCGAAAAAAAATCTATTTCACAGCCCAACTTTGAGTTGTGTAATTTTCTAAGAGAGTGAAGCAGTGATCTGCCTCACTGTGCCTTACATTCAATACAAATGAGCATGACATATTCCCTGCAGTGTAATGTGACTGACCGGTAGGATCTGGAAGTGCTTGATCTTCTGGTGGTGGCACAAGGTAAGCACGAATGCCTTGGGATTACTCTGACTGTCCCGCAACAGGAATAACCTGACACAGAGAAGATTAGAGAAAGGATGATTAAACCGTTCCATGAAAAGCATGTAAAATACATCACTAGTCTAACTCTGGTTTGGTGGTTACATTTCAAATGCTTGATGATATGCAGCTGCATGAGTTGAGGGAGCTGTGACTCTTTATCTTAATCCACCGGGTAAAGGCTGAGATACTTTGCTGTCAGACCAAAAGGCTGTTTTAAGACATTTTAGAAGATTTAAGCTTTTCTTGGCTGCAGTGATGTCTCTATTTTTCACATTTTTTATTCAGAAAATTCTAGTTTGAAAAAATAATCTTCACTTATTACAACTTGTGTTTTCACAAAGCTTTCTACTGCGTTTCACATGAGCAACATTTAACATGAAATTTCATGCTCAAAATATAGTTCTTACCCATCTACTTGGCCTTGTTGTATGATCATTTTGTGGGCTTCCTCTCGCATGATTCGACCGTGAAACCATACCTGTGTCCTGTGGATCACTGAAAGACAGACATCTTTGACTCAGTGTTTGAGAATTTTCATATTCATAACACATATTCACATTCAGTGCATCTACCAACCAAACTAAACACTCAAATAAATATGAAGTCATGTGGTCCTTTCTTTCTGTTGTTGCTGGGCTATAGCACTAATACAAGGTGGTCACAGCTGTATTTGTTTGTGGTTCGGAAGTGAGAGTACCTGTGCTCAGAGAGGATGGGTGCAGCGGGCTGGGACTGCCGAGGACATTCATACGCTGGCTCCGTTTCTATGTGGAAGAAACCAAACATTTACCATAAGATAATAACATATCAAACACAATTCAAAATCAATTCAAATCAGCCCCCAAGCTTCCAGCCTCCACCTTCCCTTTGAATTGTGGTAGAATTCATTTCAGTACAGTAAACAGACCCTGTAATGCATTACAGTCACTCACAATGGAGTGAGCAGCTGCTTGCTGCTTTAGCCTTGTCAGAGGTATGATCTCAGCAACAGATAAGTGGAGCTGCTGCACACTTGAATTTACTAAGAAAAGGCATGCAGGGGAAAGATAAATGAGTCTGAATGGAAAAAGGCTTCTGCACAGCGTTTCAATGAAAGAAGTTACAGAAAGGAAGCTCAAAAGTGAAGAAGATATCAAAGATGTTTGTGAAAGAAAAAGCTGTGATCTCAAATGACTATATGATAATATATACTGTATGATAGGGGAAATCATGGGTCTATATTACAGAAACTCAAGGGAGAGTTCATGATAAAATGGCCCTTTTACATACTGTAGGATTAGTATTTGTGTTATCTTTGTTAATCACATCAAACAACTGGAGTTTAAATTTGTTCATTTTTGGATTCAGATTTCTTCCATTTTATGAATATCTGTCCACCCCAAAGCCCGAGCTTCAACCCCCTTCTTACCCTCCAGGTCTGTCCCTCCTCCAGGGCGGCGCTCTGGGCCTCAACAGGGTTGTCGATGACGCGACCTGTCCTTCCAGAGAAGTCCATGGCAACCAGGGAATTCTCAGATACACTTCGCTGTTAGGAGACGTGGCAGGGTGGAAGGGTAGGTGGAGGGTGGTGGTGGTGGCGGGTAAGGAATGGGGGGAGGGGGGTACACAAGGATGGTGGGGTGGGGGGGGTAGACAAGGGTCAGAGGTCAAACAAGCCAGACACAGTCACTGGGGCATGACAAATCCTGTCTGCACAGTGAGACCCATTTCAGTCAATCTACAAATGCCCCTCTGGGGAAAAGCACAAACCTCTCCCGGCTCTCCCGCTCAAATTAATTCATTACTTATGTCTTTCACTAAAAATAAATAAAGTAAATTCAACAACACAGTGGTGTTGATCGGGTGGGATGACAATGGCTGGATGTAATTTGTAAACTATAGTGATTAGATTTAGTGCTGAAACAACTGCTTTTCAATACATCGATTCAATGGAAAACAAAAAAAATTTAAATTAACTGCCAAGTATATTGACAACTATTTAACAAGTCACTTTTCAAGTAAATCCAAACATTTTCTGGTTCCAGCTTCTCCAATGTATTTCCTGCTTTTTTCTCTTTTATAACAGAAAAAAAGATAAAAAATCATTCACAATCTTTGTGATATAATACTATACCAATCCCTCTCTTTGTGATATAATACTAATACTAAGCCCAGTGAAAACACTACTTTCCAACGTGGTCCCAAGATGTTAAAAGACAAAAACACAACACATGCAACATTAAACACCTCCTGGTGTGAGGTGATTAGCCTTAGTGTAACACAGCACACAATTATGCTTCAAGGTTTCCGTTTGCTGAGCATTATGTAAATGTTCACTCTTCTAAATAACTCTGGGATAAGATGTTCTGTGTCGGATGTACTTTTGTTATAGACTGCTGTTTGTTTAAATGAGCAGTCTGACCTGAATCTTGACCATAAGCCTTTCACTACAGAGCACTGCTTTCACCTCAATACTAAAGGTCAACAGCAGCATTGAAATGGAAAAAATAGAAGTCCATTCCTTATGCTAAATGGAAAAGTGATCTAGCCGGTGGTTGTGTGTTACTCTTAAGAAGAGCAAGGCACAAGGTGGCCACAAAGTGAACTGGTTTCCAATTCACCATCAGCTAATTAATGGATCTATCTGGATTGGTCTTGGCTGAGTGGGCGCATTAGAGCGGGGTTATAAGAAGGTGATGTCAGAGAGCAGATCCTCACCACAGGCGCAGAGAAAGGCGAGAGGTTAGACTTCCTCTGCTGGGGAACGTTGTAGCTCTGATACAGTACTATCCCATACTGTGAAGACACAAGAGAGGAGAGACGGCATAAGGTCATGTTTCCAAGTGCAGACAAATGAATTCATGTTAATAAAATATGAAAGGAAGGGAAGTACTTTGAGCAGTCTGAAGGCTGTCATCCAGCAGGTCCTGCTCTGTTCGTCCTCAGCACACAGCATCTTTAGCTCCTTACAGTCACTCCTCGCTTTACTGGGCTGTCAACCAAACACACAGTTCAATTCAAGGGACGATTGGAAAGTAATTAACCTATGTAGTTGCCTTTTATGATCACTGTTAAGGCAAGACTATGTAATGTCTTCTAACAATGGCTACTGTGTGTCAAAGGTAACAATAATGGAATAATGGAGTAATAAAACTGTAGCACTCTAGTAGAGTATAAAACAGTATCCAAATTAGAAAATAAAGAATGTAAAAATATATTAAAAAAAAATATATATATATATATATATATATGTATGTATGTATGTATGTGTGTGTGTGTGTGTGTGTGTGTGTGTGTGTGTGTGTGTGTGTGTGTGTGTGTATACACACACACTCTACAGTTTGCTAACATTAGCTAGCATTAGCCACCATAAGCTACTGGTCATACCAGACCAAGTCAGGCTGTAGCTGCTAAACCTCGGCGTGCGTTAAATTGAACAAGGGTGCGTTTTACTGCTTATGAATTCAACTGTTTATTTGTAAAAGGAAGAATGTGTTCTTTCTACTTTAAAATATCACATAGCCATGCTTTAAAAAGGGCCAGAGGCATGCTGACAGTAACAGCTTTAATATGATTACACCCAATAAACCAATCCCTCCTCCACTCAGTGAGTCTTTTAACAGTCAGCTCACGGTACAATAGACAATACAGAGTTCTCAGTGTCATATACTCGCAATATTTAAGAAAACTGGAATGAGAACAATCTGTGACTGCACCAATTTCCTTATTGACTCTTCCTCCGGCATAAAATATGTAAAATGTGTGTTTTCAAGCTTTACGATAAGAGTTTCAGTGCCAATAATGGAATCTCAAATAAAAGAAAAATAAAGCTTTTTTAAGCAACATTAAACTGTACTGAATTATAAAAATGTCATCTCATAACGATAAAGAGGATATGTCTGGGCCATAAACCCTTTTTCTTAAACCTATATCTTCACATGAAAATTTTTCTAAATTCAGCCAAGGACATTATTTGTGTGACTATAAGCTTAGATGGCTCCTCTGACAGTCAATAAATGACATTTTATTACACCCTCTGGCATTGAATCAGAGCAAAAACACAATATTTACTTCACTTTAACCAGCAGCACAGCACAGACGTTCTCCTTTTCCCTCAATCAGTAACAAGGACGACAGACACACTGCTCCTTAGATGCAACCCCTACCGATAAATTCATTCATGTCACCATAGCAACAATCCAGCCACCCCCAGCCGCCAAGTAAAATCCCTTACCAAATCCTGCACTGTCACCCCCGCTGACAGCATCTGACACACCAATCGTCTAGTGTGTGTGCGTGTGTGTGTGTGTGTGTGTGAGAGGTGAGGGGGTTAGGTGGACAAGATTCCCTGTACCATCCTGACTTATCCCACTGGGCTTATCCCAGATCAGCAGGTGACCCACCACAGATAACTCCTTGAGTGAGACACTCAGTGCTGAGTGGGTGTTTGAACTCATGCTGGGTTGGTTTTAACCCTCGTGTCCTCTGACACACAAACACACACACACGCGTAACAGGTGCATCTGTTACAAATGGTATTTTATGAAAGATCACATAACAGCCATATGTCCATCCATGATAGAATGTCTATATGATACAGTTTCACTTGTTTAATGGGGTTTGCAGGAATCACTATACAGTAAAATAAAGAAAAATACTAAAATAAAAAGTAAAAAAAAAAAAAAAAAACGTTAAATGACATCCAACCTGGAAGATTTATTTAGATTTTTACAAATGGTAACCTTCAGCAATGGATTAATTGAGCTGCTCAGGTGTTTTCTTTGGTGTTACCTTGATGCAGAACTGGTAGTCTGTGGGAGCGTTGTGTTTTCTGCCTGTGATGATCGTGAAGATGTTACTGTCCTCCAGATCTGACAGCAGTTGCAGGTGTCTGGGCTCCTGTTCAGTTGTGGGGAGACAGAGGGAAAAGAGACATCAGCATAAAGGAAATAATTATAGACTGCTTTAAACTGTGTAACTTGTTCTAAAGTTTATTTTGCTTTCCTTTTTTTAAATTTAAGTTTTATTTAATAAAAAATAAGAAGTTAACATTTTATTGGATGACAAATTAAAACCAAAATGTTGGATCCACAAATAAGAGAAAGAAAAATTGAAAATCAACAGTAAAATAGCAAAATTTATCACCTTGGATGTTCCTTTAGTTGAGTAGTAGAGCCCAGAGCGGCGCAGGAACATATAGAGTTTCTTCCAGGACCTGCGTCCAGGCTCTTTCAAGCACAGATAGCCCTGGATCTCTGGACAGCTGCTGGAGTTCAGAAAGTTCTGCAAAAACACACAAACAGCATCTATCAGGAACACTGCTGCAAATGTTTCTGCTTCCAACATCCTAGAAATTATGTTCATAGATACTGCAAAATCCATTTTAAAAAACGACCAGGCATCACAGTAACAACGCTGGGTGAATGTAATTAGCAGATTTCAGGAAGTGTGTGCGTGCATGCATATTTTTGGACTACCAGATGTCCTGAGAAAAATTTAAAATTTCTTGCTGTCACTCTTTGTTGAAGGTGGCTACTTTAGATTTAGGATTTAGGATGGAACAGGTGTTTAAGTTAAGGTTTAGGGAATGAATCCTTTCCATGTGTGATAGTCAATATGTAATGTGTCTCTTCACTGAGTCATCACCTCACCTGCAAGAGCTGTGACTGAGGGATTGAGCCATCAGACTCCTGACACCAAGCCACCATCTGCTCCGGAAAAAAGTTCTGGATGGAAAAACACAGCGAGAGAGAGAAAGAGAGAGAGAGAACGACAATGAGTGTGAGTGAATGAAAGAGAAAGAGAAAGAAAGAGAGAGAGAGAGAACGACAATGAGCGTGAGTGAAAGAAAGAGAAAGAAAGAAAGAAAGAAAGAAAGAAAGAAAGAAAGAAAGAGAGAGAGAGAGAGAGAGAGAGAGAGAGAGAGAGAGGGGCACTAGAAACCACTTAGTGCATATGCAAGCTCAGAGTGGGGTAGTGTTTCTCTATACTGAATACGTCTCTCTTTCTGTGTGTGTGTGTGTGTGAGTGTGTGTGTGTGTGTGTGTCTGATGAGCACAAGGACTCCGAGACAAAGTGGTGGGGGTGAGAGAGGTAGATAAAGAGAGAGAGAGAGAGAGAGAGAGAGAGAGAGAGAGAGAGAGAGAGAGAGAGAGAGAGAGAGAGAGGCACTCCAGCCTGGGAGTAGATGCAGTATGATCTCACCCACTGATGTAATCCCCTTTAGCCAGCAGCGCTACTCTTAGCGTGATTGACAGGCCGCGGCCAGCACTCTGGTGTTTTACTGTGCTCATTACCACAGGGCTGAGGTCACCTGCTGGCTCTGACACACGCCTAAATCACCACGGCAATAATGTCACCATATACCCGCCGGCACGTAACCGCAGAGCCCCATGCTGAGTCCACATCAGCAAAAGATGCTACGCAGACCAGCTGACTCTGACTCGCTAGCTGTCAGAGGCAGGTTTGTGTCCTTAAAATGATGAACAGCTTTGTATTTGATATTTTAGTTCACACTGTTATCCAGAGAGACTTAGTGCAAAAGTAGAATGATATACCGGGAAGAAGAAAGAAATGAGCAAACATACCAAACACAAGTAGGGTAATGCAGTACTGCTTCCCAATTGGATAATAACTTACTCAACAATAACATTTAAATACTGTTTTTCATAATCTGTCCATGCAACTAAATATCACAAGATTGTTATATATACACTTTAGCTCATTATTCGTCTATCAGCAGCTGTTCTTCTTGGGTGATTTTTATCTAGCTAATTTAATCTTGAGTGAGTTCTTGGCAAATATATTGGCAACTGACGTTTTTTGTGTGTGTGTGTGTGTGTGTGTGTGTGCACGTGTGAGAAAATGGCTGCGTGCTAAACCAGAGAAGTCACAGAAGTTAGTTTTTAGGGATGCGAGAGACTCACCAGGGGGTTCCTGAAGAATTCATATTTGGCATAGTTCTTTCTGAAGAGGAATTTACTGTCGCTGCTCATGGAGGCTTGAACTTGAACCACCAGCTCGTGGTCCTCCAGACATCTCTCTGTATGAGGACACAGACAGTGACAGTGTTAGCTCGGCTCAGCTGGGTTGTCTTTGCATTGTCCTCAGGGATGTAGCTGGAGGCTACATTTTAAAACCAGTGTATACAGATTTAGGGCTTATTTATATCCTAAAAATCTGAATATATCTGGGATTATTAATATTGTTTGAAATTGGGTGAAAATATCTGTTCATAATTCCAAGATTTAAGCATTTTACCAAAACTTTTTTTTTTTACCTAAAGGCTGAAGTGCTGCATAACAAGCAGCTCTTTTTTGTATGCATTTTCTCTCTCACTTCATTTTTTTCTCTTTTTAATATTTCAAGCGTATTTTGCAATGCCCTTGTCACCAGACACTTGAATAGTGTCCTCTAACAGCAGAAAACAACAACTTTTTGATGTGCTAAAGCATAAAATCCCATTGAAAATCAGTTTAAAAGTTATCTAGTACTTATTTAAACTAAGTATTTTTCAATGGAAATTTGTATATATTGAAAAGAATTAGTATTTAATAGTGCATATTATATATGGCATGTTGTATGATCATTGATTATTTTAAGCATAAACACGTCTTACTGAGAGCAGAGATGATTTGGGTTTAGATTATGAGAGGTCATACTTTCCTCTCATCTTTTATGTACCACTACATCAACCGTTTACACCATAGCATTGCATACAATGACACAGCACGAACAAACCGCCTGTTACTAAGAGACGAGCAAGGGAGTAAGAGGTTAAATGAGGAGGGGCTTTGAAAAGAAGAAGCACTGTGAGGCAGGGAGGGAGGAGGTGAAGGTGGAGAGGAGAAGTGGTATGAGATGGGGGGGGGGAGGAGGAAGAGCTGGTGGTGGGGGCATTGCAGGAAGATGATGTCATGTATTTAGGCTGATTGCTGAGAACGGTGAAGCCATAAGCAAAGTACAAGCCACAGACAAACACACAACCACACATTAAGAGCTCACACAGACCTAACCTGCTCACTGTGCACCACACAGGCCCAATTACTTTCTCTATGTGTGTGTGTGTGTGTGTGTGTGTGTGTGTGTGTGTGTGTGTGTGTGTTCTCCTCTTTCTTGAAGTTGAGGGTATATGATCTCAGACTGAGGCCGATTAGAAATTGATAGTGACAGGATGTTCCAGTTCTGCGTGGATGGACACACACACGCACACATGAAATAATAGCAACCAAGATTTAGCACTAATTCTCCTTCCAGATTAACAAAGACACAAAACACACACACACACACACACACACACACACACACACACACACGAACAAACACACTCATACATGTATTTTGGTGAAACTGTGGTCACTTTTCTTGCTAAAAATGTATTCTGGGTGCAGTTTAGGGGTGGAAATGTCTGAGTTCTTTTTAAGAGAGTGTGTGTGTGTGTGTGTGTGCACGCGCTGGCTGCAAGCGGGGGAATTTCCTGTGGAGGGTTAAGGAAAGACTGATTGGCTAGTAAGGCTAGGGGCTCGTCTAACGGAGAACTGCGATTGGTTCCTCTCAGCTCTGGTATGACGCTGTAGTCCAGGCCTCTCCGCCCTTCCCCCCTGCCCCCCCAAATCTCCCTCTCTGTCTCTCTTTCTCTGCCTTCATCTCTCTCTCTCTCTCTCTCTTTTTCCCTCCTTCCCTCCCTCTCCTCACCTCACATTCCATCTCTCCAGTGCACTTTTTTCCAGAAACACAGATCAAGCAGCAAAGCACAAAGCGATCCTTTGACTCTAAAAATACGACTCTGGAGTAGGAAAGCCTCGCCGAGGACAAAGACCGACCCAGAGAAAAAAAAAAAATTAAGAAATAAATAAAGCTTCAAATGGAGACATGGTAAAAGAGAAGAAGCGAGGCATGAGTCTTGTCTCCCCCCCCCAAGTGCATTATTGGGAGGGAACGGGCATGTGAGCAGAACATGGAAAATGCTTAATCCTACAACCACCACGCCTCCCTCCCCGAGCTGTATAGACGGCATACAAGCACTCGTGCCATGCCCAAGTGAACATACACACTGAGGGTACGCACAAGAGAGTACACCCACCCATGCAGAGACACACAGAAAGGGGTATAGACACACACATAAGACTGAAACACACCTGCAGAGAAGACAGACTCTTAAAAAACCACTAAAGACAAACATACAGGGATGTAGTGTAAACCCTCTATAATTCATTTTACTTTTCTTTTCACTTGCACAATGACTTTTATACTCTATCTCAAGGCTGATATAAACATTTTCCTGGTATGTATCACAATTTGTGGAGTAAAAACCATGTTTGCTCCCAAAAGACTTCACAGAAAAGAGAAAAATATATTGGAAAAATATAACTGAAAATGTAACAGCTCATATTTGTGGTGGTTAGCCTTACTGGAAGTCATACTGCTGTTTAACCACCCCTTCATAAACTGCTACATCATTGTATATAACCAATGAACACACAGAGATGCACAAAAGTAGAATCTATGTCCATTCCAGCAAATAAGAGCATGATTATAGATGCAAGTGTGTGCCAAATGCATGCCTTGGTGCACACACACTCACCATACATACATACATACACACACATTCTTACCAAGGCCCAGGATGGGGTGGTGCTCCACCAGTGTCCAGGCGTTGTCGTCCACACAGTGGCTCTTGTAGACCAGGAGCTGACAGACGTCTCTGGCCGTCATATCTGCTGGGATCTCCACCACTTTACCGGCTCCATCCTCGCTCCACACCTTTACTATCTGAAAACACAGGTAGTGGTGAGAATATGTTCATAAAAGCAGTAAAAGTCATGTTTTCACAGGCTGGAGAAAGTCTATTAACAGTCGGAAGGCGTGCCTTCTCCTGAACCACTTTCGAGAATTTGAATCCGCAGAGCAAAGGGAGAACGTAACAGATCAGAGGCTACATTTACCTCCATAACCAGGTGCTTTGTCAAGTCCACTCTTAAAAAGTCCTGTTCACATTATCACCACTCCAACATGAAAATCGCTTAAAAAAATATATAAATAAGGATGACGTCCAGGAAAGGTTTGCCGGCCCCTGTGCTCTCAGTTCAACCCTTTTGTCCACAGCTCAACCGAACTTACTCATATGCACATCCGGGAATACGCATGTAAACCTGCTTGCGCACAAACCACAATGACACGTTTTCTGTTACATGCAAGGACATCAACAGTCGGAAAAGTACCACATATTCACACTTGGACAGCGAAATAACACGGTGCGTTTACACATGTTGCATTTTGTCCTTAAAAATGTCACTGCTGCTCCAAGCGGGTACAGTTCAAAGCCGGAGTACCTCCCATTGTTGCGCCATTTTGAACTATTTCAGCCAAGTGCCCAAAGCGACATTTAAATCGGGTGTAATTTTGCTTTCTCTGAGTGTGTTGCTGCACAGATAACCACAGACCAGCTGCTTCACACCACTGTATGAGCAGATTCACACACCACAGAGAGCTCACTCTCACATGCAACACACTAACACACACGAATATGCGCAGATAAACATCGGAGAGTGCCTACAAACCACAAAGATTAATCAGATTATCTTCTATATATCAGAAAGAAATTGTATGTGTGTGTTTGTATGCGTGTGTACGTTTGCATGTGTATCGTCACACACCCCTGTTAACACAAAAACACTGGGGAGCAACTGTTGAACATTACATGAAACAAGACACAAAGCTGTTGATGGGCGAGGGCCGGAGGGCGGGTGTATGGAAAACGAAGTCAACAATGGCACCGCGAGGTGGCAACACAAAACACCAAAAAACGGTGGCCTAGAAATGACACACCAGAAGCACCAGCACGGCGATGCAAAGAGAGACTGAATGCAACCAGAAACAACGTCACAGCGCTCTTTGCCCCTGCAAAGCCAGTAGACGCCCCCCTTCTCCTCACACACGCCCCCCGTAAAAAAAGTACTTTCATGACGCATGAGTTTTGTTTGAGAAAAGTTTTAGAAACATCGAGGGGAAACAAATGCAAAGGTCCTTACTGCTGCAAACTGATAACCTCATGCGCGCACACACACATACACACACACACACACACACACACTGCTCACGACGGACTTTCCAAAAAGAACGAAACACACACACACACACACACACACACACACACACACACACACACAGTCTCTTACCTCCACAGCCTGAAAGAGGCAACAGTCTGGAGAGCAGGATGGCATTTTCACACTGAGACGCTCTCCAGTGACACAGAGAGACAGAGAGAGAGAGGGAGAGAGAGGGAGGGAAGGAGGAGGAGGAAGAGGAGGAAGAGGAGGAGGAGAGGAGAGGGGGGGAAGGAAGTCAGGAAGAGAGAGAGGGAGGGACAGATTGGCAAGGAGAATGCAAGAGAGGTAAGCGGGAAGGGGGGGGGAGTGACAGAGGAAGGACGAGGAGTGAAAGAGAGACAGAGAGAGAGCAAGAGAGAGCGAGAGAGAGAGCAAGAGAGAGACAGCCTGCCTCTTCTTCTCGTGCTGGGCAGCATAAAGGCTGAGCTGCGAGGAGTGGTATGAGCTGCCGCTCCTCTCCTCCCCTCCCTCCTCCTCACACTGGATTAACCCAGTGTGGGATTTTTAAATGGTGAGCTGCTACCTGTCACGTACTCTAGACTCTTATCTTCAGGGCTGTGTTCAAATCCCATCACCCTCCACCCCACCCCAAAAAAAGATCACTGTCAGCTCCTTTTACTGATGGCGCCGCACCAAAAGTAACAGTCCCTAAAACACGCCCACAACTCCCCCCGTCTCTCCCTCTCCCTCTCTCTCTCACACACACACACACACACACACACACACACACACACACACACACACACACACACACACACACACAGATAGAGAGAACAAACGGGCTTAAACTACTAAGCCAATCACTAAACACACACACACACACATCCCTTTTTCTTATGCATCCACTGACATTTTCTATGAACTGCCTGACAGTTTTAATTTCAACTCTCTCCCTCTTCCTCTTCCTCTTCCTCCTCCTCCTCCTCAGCTGTATGTGAAATACTATGCCAGAGTGTTAGGACCAGAGCAACATGTGTAATGCACACTGACGGCTTCGGGGTTTGCAAAGAAGGCAGCTGAAAGAAAACGGTGGGGTGATTCGATCTGAAGCTGTATGGATCACGTGTCGGGCATTTGGGCTTTGCCGAGGGGGGTCACAGGAGGGATAGGGAGAAAGGAGGGTGGTGGTTGCTCAGCAAATCTGCCCAGCCCCGGGAGAGGTAGACAGAGACAGAGATAAAAACGAGAGAGAGGGAGATAAAGAAGAAGAGGATAGGGTAAGGGAGAAGAATAGAGAAAGAGAAAAAGAGGGAGAGTGATGGCGGAATGTCAGTAATGCAATACTGAGTCATAATCAGGCTCATGTGTAGAGCACAGGGCCAACCCAGCTGGCCCCTAATACAGTGTGCATGAGAACTATGAGCCGCACACACACACACACACACACACACACACACATATTCTCAAAAGAGGAGGACAAAATGTAAACTATGACAACCAGCTCCAATAATTTTTTCACTTCTTCCTTGTCCTTTTTTTTTTTTTTTTTTTTAACCTTTTAACAAATCTTTCTTCCCTGTTTTATCTTTACAGAGTGAAATTCAACTCACCTTGGTTTGTTCCTCCCCCTCTGTTCCCCCTTCCCCCACTTCCTTCTTTTTCTCTCCACCACAGAGGGTGAGGGGTAGAAATGTACAGGGTTACTGGTCTCCTCTGCTGCTTATAGCAACACACACACATACACACACACACACACACACACACACACACACACACACACACACGTAAAGAGGGTCTGGAGACGCAGCATATTGGATTGAAGGGTCATGGACAGACACCTGCATGCCAATAAACAAACACGCGCACGCGCGTGCGCACACACACGCACAGTATGTATGGGGTCAGGGGTCAAACACAGTAATCTGCGGCAGGGTCAGGCCCACTTGAC